ACCGCGCATAGTCCCGTACCTCGGGGCTATCTTCTCCGCCGCGGTTGAACTATTTCCGTGGTGCGACCGTGAACAAGGAATGTAGGCTCTTGTCACGCGACGAAAGGTCAACTCTCGGGGCACGTGAGCAATTTCCAGGAAACTGCCCCTCTGCGAGCCCATCGATCAGCTCGAATTCGCGGGTTCCTTCGGTGGGAACACGGATTTCTCGCAGTGACTTTGCTCCTTGAGAAATTATTTTTTGGAGAAGTTGGGTAGACGTGAATGGACCCTTTGTGTCTTTTTTAACAATTATTCTTTACGTGGCATCGATATTCGAGTCGTTTTTAAGAATCACCGCAGACGGAATGGAGGAAAGATGAATTCGAAGCGGGAAGAGAGGCGAAGGGCATGGTCAGTGTCGAAGCGGGGGAGGAGTTCCGCGTGAGCGTAATCTCGAATCTCGCCGCGAGCCAACGGCGTTGTAAACAAACGTTACGTCAATCAGGACAACGATCCGGGAGTGATGCAAGCAACGCGTAACGGGCTTCGGCTCGGAGGCGCGATACGAAAGCGATAAGGAGCCATGGCCGTGGCTCTCTTTGCTGCCCGTCAGCTGATTCTACCACTTTGCTCTGAGTCATGGTCGTACCGCTTCGCGAACGCTCAAATTGGAAAGTTTCGCCGCAGAGAAATTTCGATATACTTAACTTTGTTTTTGATAAAAGTATTACTTAAGGGTTCAAATACAAAGATTACGACGATGTCGAGTTAAAACAGCGAAGCAGAAATTTGATTGGGACCATTAGATGGGCTGTAAGGAGCGTTACGTGGAATTTTTGAAGAAATAGTTGGTATTTATAAGGGACGGTGCCCTCTCGAAGATGAAATGTAGCATTTTGTCAAAGCTTTTCTAATGTCACATATGTGTTTGAATATTTAATGAATATTAGGTGTGTACAAGTGCAAGCTTCCATAGTAATAAGCAAAACTGACAAAAATACAGATACTAAGAATGTAAATGAAAATAATTCGAAAGATAAGCAAAATTCAAACTCCTCGCAATTAAAAGATTTATCCACGAATCTGTCGGTACCCCAATGCGGAAGTACCACGTCTCGTACCTTCCGGCTAAAGAAGTAAATGAAGAAGTACTACTTGTCAACTATTCTACTGAGAGCCTCGAAGATTCGTCGGACGAGGAAGCAGGGTGGAAAACAACGAGTTAAGCGGTGCCCGCAAAAGTCTCCTCGTCTGGTAAGTGATTCAATTCCGTTTAAGAGGCACGAGGGGTTTTGAAGAAGCAAGGAGACCATTCCACGGGCCCTCCATAGCGTCGACTATGTGCCTTATCTAGGGTGGTCGCGTTAAATCGTGACGCGTGACCGTGCATACTAAAGATGTATGTACCTAAGCGACCGTGCTCTCTCCTTTCGCTTTCTCTCTGTTGGAGAACGGTTCACCCTTCTGTAATTCGTTTGACGTATGTCGGGCGTCGGATAAAACTGCCAGCGAACCCTGTAAATTCCTCGAGAATCGTCTCAAATTCGCGAACGAAAGGATCTCGCAAAATATTCGACAAATTAAAAGCCTCTTCTTCTCGTTTCGCCTTTACAGCGTCCGGTGTCCTTTCATTTTCACGGGAATACTTCTTTATTTTACGCCACTCTTAATTTGGACATTTCTCAAGGGTCACTCGGCCATCCCTGAACTCTTTTACGTTCTTCTGCTCGCTCCTCCTCCCTCGAGCACTCAGACCCTTCGAATGCCATCGGCGTTATTTCATCTTTTGCAACTCGTTTCACCCCCTTTCGAAACCTCCAAATCAGCCGAATCCGCCGAGTAACGTTGAACGCGCGGCAAATTAACCCGATAACCCGTGCCCTTTCACGGACACAGAATTCGAACAGAGCTATCGGTATCGCGCGCTATTAATCAAACGGATCCTCCGCTGGAAGTGACCGCCATTCCACGCGAGGAAATCATTCCGCGGAAGTCCAGGGGGTCGTTGAATGGTCGAACACGGAAAACAGAGAATGGTTATCGAGCAGTGGCAGCTCTGCCGGCGGCACGGAACGGGATCGCTTATTGGTTTAGTCACGGGCCGTTTGTCGCGATTGGTCCCCGTGGACTAGCCGGAAAATATGGGTCGACGCGCGCTCCAGACGAGCCATCTTGTCGGATACACCTTTAACCAGCGGGCTATCTTCCTTTCCTACGCTGGCAACATTATTTTTCCATTCCTTTTCTCTCGAACGCTTCAAATTTCTACTTCCGCTAAATCGAAGCAATTGAATCGAACGAAACGTGTTAGGTACACTTGTCCAAACGTATGTACGTTTCGTATTGGATTTGTATCTTTGCATATTCTGCCTATTAAAATGCATTCTTTCAAAGCATGAATCATCGCTAAAGTAGATACCTCGTTGTTTATGTTGAAGTGTTAAGAAGAAGAACTACGCCAAAGCTAGTTGGCTTGTTGCAACAGCCTAGTGAGCGAGGATTAATCTACTCGAGGAATTAAAACGCAGAAATACGCCGGTGAAGTTTGCTCCTATAAGCGAAGCTAGACGGAACTCGGGAAGAGACATCGCGAGTAGAAGTGCAAGGTAAACAGACTCACCTTCTCCCTGAGCATGTCTCGCACCCTGGTGGCCTGGCTGCGGCTTCTGTGCAGCTCGAGTTGCAGCTCGAGGCACCTCTCCTGCCAATTAAGCTCCTCCACCGTGGTCGAGTATCCATCGAAGCTCTTCGACGCGCCGTAAGCGGGTCTGCTCTCGAGCTTCTCCTTCTTCGCCTCCGAACTGGCTAGCCTCTCTGCTTCTCTGTTCCACGTACAATCGATTCTCCGCGAAAATCCGGCCGGTTTGTTGCTCCTGTTGCCTCCCGGAGAACGAATAAGCGCGATCAAAGTGTCCCCTGGGCGATGGTCCAGGATCGAAATTCGACCTGGCCCTGGCGAACGCGGCCAGATCTTTAGCTTCGTAACAACCGCTACCGTCGAAGTCGGTTTGCGCGGCGAACGTTCGTTTGTCCGTGTATTCTACGTGGCCGCTCGACTCCGACGTGAAATCGTACGGGCTACACTTTGGTTTCGTCTCTCTCAGCTCCACGTAGCCAGCGCTTCTCGCTGCCTCCGCGAAACCCTTGTCCTTTTGGAACAACAGATTCGGTACGTTGACGTACGGCGAGTCGCGAGCGTGTACAGGCGCCTGAAGACTTCCAGAAGCGGACGTGCTTCCACCAGAATGATTATTATTCGCGTTACCAGAGCCGCCGTGTCTTGGTCTAGGGGGTGGTGCAGGTGCCTGGCGGAATTGTCGTGGCCACAAGCGAGGACTCTCGGCTCCGCTGGCCAATCCTGCTGCTGCTCTGCCAGCATCTGACCCAGCTTGTTGCCTTCTCACCGACGTTTCACTCGCTGGACTTGTTCGTTCGTGGCCGGCAGAAGGTTCGTGGCCACGTACACCTAGTCTCGGGCTACACGGTGCTGAATTCGAGCCGAAATCGGTGGTGAGCCGCGCGATCGGATCGAGGATCTGCGAGAGTCTGCGTGCTGGCGAGCCTCGCACCTCCTCCATGCTGGCTTGGCCTCCTCGCTCTTTACTCCGCTTAGCCTGTGTCCTGGTGTCCTCTCCTCGACGCTCGAGGCCTCAGTGCATCGCACCGCGCCGCGGCCTGACCCTCCTCCTCGCGTTCCCTTCCTCCAAAGAGGGATCACGTCGATACGCGCCTCGGTAAGGGCGTCGCGGCCATCTCCCGGCGATGATCACGGTGATCTCACGCGGCACCGCGGGCATCGTTGCTCACATCGCGCCTGGGCTCTGGTCTGGAACAGTGAAAACGTGAAATCGAGATAGGAATATTGGAATCTGAATAGAATACAGCGAAAGAAGTCTCTAGCTTACGAAACAACCAAACTATTCACCTTCTTCTTCACTCCGCGTCCAAGAGTCGCGTGTACCGGTAGCAAAGAGGGACGACGGACGAAGGGAGCGAGAAACGGTAATCGTAAGAGGGATAACTCGACAGGCTTGTCGCGGTTCTAATCGGTGGGCTTCGCGGCCTGTCGCTCGCAGCCTCGAATCCAAGCCGTATCCAATTTGCGCGGCATTAACCGTGGCTAACACGTAATCGTTTTCTCTCTCTCTCTCGGTACCGAGATTTTCCTCGGCGATCGTTGCACCAAGGACCGACCACCCGTGTTAGAACCCTCTCTCCTCTTAGCACGATTTAATCGTTCCACCACGAAACCAACACACCGTTTCCTTTCCAGCTAGGAAACTCTCGAAAGCTCGACACAGGCGACAAGTTTCACGGACTCGTTTTCGCGAACGAAGCCTCTGACGAGGTTAGACCAGGAAATGGAAGGCAGATATTAACTCGCGGCGAGTGTTTGCAGTACTAAATTGAAAGCTGTAACTCTTTGGGGTGTCTCTCGAACCGAGTCACTCTCCTCTTTCTCTCTGACTCCCCCATTCCTCCCTTCTCTCCCTCTTTCATTTCCTTCTGTCGCGCTTCTTCGGCTGACTTGGCGTGACGAGACGCTCACACACACGCAGAGGAGCATACACAGGATAGGGAGAAAGTACAGAGAAGAGGAAAGACGACCACGACGTCGACGACGACTAAGAGGAGGAGGAGGACGATGCAGGGCTACAAAGTTTATTTTAAGGTCGACACTAAAAGGGGCCAAATGAAAAACCGGATGGAGGGGTGGGCCGTGTAAAGTTCCGTTCTGCAATTACCGCGAGCGAAACGTCTGCTGGCCGCCAAAGAGACGCGAGAGCAGCCTGGAGAACAGGAAGAACGGACGCGAGCCTACGACTACGACCTGCGAAATTGCTCTGTCCTGGAACGGAACACCGCCACTTTTACCTGGACCTTTCCAAGTATTTCCTATTATTTCTCGGATCATTTTCTCCATCTACCTTGCATTTCTTTTTCTTACTGTCTTACCGACTTCTTTATTAATTACACCCTCG